CCTAGTTGTTATTTAAACATAGGCTGCTTAGAGATGGCCCTCCCTAAAGGGAAAGTGTCAGATGTATTAAAGAGTAGATGACAATTATTTTGGCCTGCGTTGACTATCTCACATCACTTATAAATCTGTACATGTTCTATAGGTGGTAAGTGTCTGGACAAGAAAAGCTAAGCTTAGTACCCCTCAAAATCAAAGGAGTATTTGGAGCTGGGCTGCTAGTGAGGCCCATTCTAGAGATATGCCTTAAAGCTCAGCCCCAGCCCAGATAGGTCTTGAAAATTCAGTCTCATGTCACAGGGTCCTAACTGGGACCATTTAGAATTCCGAGAAAGTTTATTTATTCCATCAATGACAGTTGTAGCATTGAGCCACAAAGAACCTGCTATACCCACACACTTGATGAAAGGGAGGTAATCTCATAGGATGGTGAAAGTTCATTTTAGGGCATATAAATGCTCTGTAAATCAGTCTTGTATTGGCTTGCTCAGTTTTTCTTATTTGGAGCCATAGGTTTACGTGGGCTCCCTGAGAATTGATTAAATTTGTTGGGTTTAACACAATACAGTTTAAAATACAGACCAGTATAACAGACTGGTCTTATAATACAGACCAGTTCACAGACTGGTCTTAGTGAGGCCTTAAAAGACATCTTTTGTAGCATCTGCCCTAAAACCTGCAAGAAGGAAGATGCTAGCACACTTTATTTATGTAGAGTAAGTAATTCTGTGAGCACCAGAGCTAGCAAGCTGGGGCAAAAGGACTGGTGAAAGGAATTCACTTGACTGTCAGCTCTCATTGCTGAGCTGCCACACAGCTCTGCAACTTTGTTCTCATTCCTGAGTCCTGCAAGGGAGTGTTTGTTGTACCAGGTTAGCCAGTGCCTCCTGGGGCAGTGTAAGCATACTCATGACTTAGCCAGTCTTTTACCACCCCACTCCGACCCTGTGTGTCCAAATCCGTGACACTTAATGTTGCAGGACATTATGCTGATAAATCACAGGTCTAGATTAATTATAATGAAAAAAACCTCCACGAACTCCCTATGTTGTGGTGCATATTTGATTTGTGTCAGTTCAGCTGGAGTTGTCAGGTATGTTATTGTTTCTTTTGGCTTAAAGGAAAATGAGAAGTGAAGTCATCTGTTGCCAGAGAAGACATGACAAGTCTGACAGCAGCGAGCCGAGTAATGCTCCTAATCGCTTGGCATTGTTTACTGAATTGCCTGAGGAAAAGAAAAGATGTTTAAACAGATGGTTTTCTGAAAGAGCTCCACAGATGTTGGGAAATAGAAACATAAGTGTTTGTATCCCATTACCTGAAGCTAAGAGCACAGCCTTTGGGAGCAGCTTAGATCTTGGAGTTTATGGAATATGATGTTGTTCAGGTGGTGTTAGCAGAGAGGAAGCTACAGAGTTTTGAACCATTATTGTAAGAACTGTCTTTTTGTTACATTCAGCTGACTTATCATCTGTGACAAGGCATGGGTTACAAAAGGAAATGTCATGTTGCCGTGAGGAAGTGCACATGATACTAATGTGTGTGAGAGCATCTTGTTCAATCTGTTTGCCCTTTTTTCTATTTACTGCTTCTTGAGGGCTGCTGTTAACTGTCCCTGCCATCACCTAGACACACAATCAGCACCAAAGAGAAGCTGTGCTGCTGCAAAAGGAGAAAAAAGGGGTTTTTGTTTGTTTGCTTGTTTGTGTTTTTTGTTGTTTGGTTTTTTTTGGTGTGGTTTTTTTTTTAAATCTCAGAAGAGAAACACTGAACCAGGGAGAGCCTGAAACTGTCCTGTTGAAAGTCCTTAAACATCACTTTGGATGTGTCAGGAAGCATGAAATAAAGTCTGCACCAGAAGAATGGAAGCAAACATACATGATGATGATGCTTAGTTACTGAACTGAGATTTTTTTTTTTCTTGCAAGACTCTCAGAAGGTTAGGAAATAACCTTGTCGTATTTTTTCTGAATTTAATCTGGAATAGAGTATTTTATGCTTAGCACTTTTGAAATGTGCTATGCTGCCATTTCCTTTTTTGCTTAGTATCTGCTCTGTAACCTTCTATCAACTTCCTGAAGACATTTTTCACTTTGGAGACTGATTTGAAACAGGACTAGCGCATAAACAAAATGAAATAGAAGAGTAGTTTGAGCTTACTTGCACTAGGAATGAGACTCTTCCCTGGGCATCGCTCAGCTAGGGCTGAAATCACTGCTAGGTGTGGCTTTTGCAGAGGTGCCCAAACAAGAGGCAACACCATCACTCCTGTTTCAGATGAGCTGTTCATACAGTAGCAACATCGCTTTTCATCTGGAGGGTAAAATGCTTGCAGTTTTGATATCAATCTGATTTTGCTTATTCAGGCAATAAAACTAGATCCAGTTTCAACACATGTGCTTACCAGTGCGTAGACGCTTTGCTGAACAGGGCTCTGCATGCTAAACCCGGTGGCTCACACTGCTATCAAGTGATGTGGGTACTCCCCATGTCAGCCAATTGGAGCTGATGGGGCAGAGGTGGGAAGAGCCTGAGCAAGTGCCATGCATAGCCCCTTCACAGAGGGAGATCAGCATTTTGAGAAGCAAGAGGAAAGAATAAGAACCGTGGCTGAATTCCAGCCACGTTCAAAATGTGGTATATGAAGTAGAGCCAGGGAGCACAGCAGTGTAGGCCTAGTACTTGCTAGTGTGCTAGAGAAAGTAAGTGGTTTATTTTACATTTAACTCAAGACACAGCAATACGCAAAGGAGGGCTTAGTTTCTGTTCTGTTATTAAGACTGTAATTACATCATCCTTGCTAAGACATCTTCCAAAGAACTCTAGCAGCTGAACACAAGCTCCTTTACCTGCATTGAGCAAATCACCTGCAGGTAGCTACATATGACCGTACAGAACACAGTGCTCACGGCTCACTAAGCAAAGGTTCCCAGCTTCATTACAGAATTTATCATCTGCTTTCTTTTTCAGGAACATCTAGCTCATTGTGATGATGGGCCAGACTTCAGCTTGTCCTTCAAACAAGATCACAGAACACAGACCAAGCAAATCCGTTCCTCCCTCTGGAATCTAGCATACAACCAGTTAAAACCCCAGGAATGGAAAAAACTGGCCCTGTTCTGGAAGTTCACAGATGAACAAATTAAAGCTATTGAAGAACAATGGACAGGTAACAATATCTGCATGGCTAGATGTAATATATAAGCTATAAAAACCACAAGGCAGAGTTGCTTTTTAAATTATGTATCACAGATACACGCTGGCCATGCTGCTCTTATCCAAATTATCAAAAGGAGTGGTGAATGGACACAAGCCTCATCCCTGGGTCCTGGGAAGAGGTGCTGTAGAAGTACAGGCCTCTTCTGTTCTCCTTCTTGGCCTGAAGGAAACTTCATCTCTGGGAATCAAAAACAGGAGCAGTGAGCAGAACAGAAGGGTCTTAAGAGCCGGTCACACTGCAAGTGAGGGCCTGGGGAACTTTGTGACACAGGAAGACCTTGTTCATGCTCTGTCTTCACAGCTACCATGAAACAGCAGTTTCTGGCATCCTAAGTGCTGGGAAAGCAATATTTCTATAATATGCATTATACTTGTTTACTACTACTACAGGGTATATTTATTGCCACATGTTGAAGAAAAAAAAAGGAACAAATTAATTTTAAGTAGTATTAAAATCCTCCTCTGCCCTTTACGGAAGCCTTAAAATAAAACTTTTTTGTTTTTTTTTTTTTTTTTAAACCTTTATAAGTCTCAGTCTCCATTTTGCTTCGAGGTGAGAAAGGAAGTAAGAGTAAATGAGTAGGTTTTAAAACCTCTTGGGACTCTAAAAGCACAAAATACACTGTTTCCAGCATATGGAACAGACAAATGCTTTCTGTATTGCATAGGGGAAAAAAGTTATAAGGAACATGGAAACAGAATGTTGCTCATCTGGTTACATGGTATATTGCTGGCTCATCAGAATCCTGTCAAGCATATATATGAAGACTTGGTGGAAGCAGGATTTCAGTCTTTAGCTGGTAAGTTGTTGTCTCACACTGTCCTCTGTGAGACTGCAGTGCAGTGCTGAGGTGCCTGCTGGTGCTGGGAAGGCGTGACTATGGTGGAGCTGGAAGACACTCTCTTCCTTTCTGGGAATCTGCCCTTGCTGGAGGGTGAGGTTGCTTGAAGAGCGTTTAAGTGAGACTTGAGATTTCTAAAGGAAGATTTGTGCTAACTTTGCTTTCCCCTCCCTTTCTCCTGCAACCACAGTTGAAATGTGTTCACCCATCCTTCACTTAGATTAGCCTGAACTTGTAAAAAGCAGAGCAGTTCAAGCGAGCATTTTCTCCTCTTACTTTACAGAGAAGATCAGAGCTGCAAGTAGCACTGACATCGACTCCAGAAAATGTGCAATTTCATGAGTTCATCAATAAAACATGGCATATATGATAGAATTACATGCCAGATGGAAAGTGACTTTCAAATACAAATAATTTCTTTTCTGGAAACAAAAACCTATTTTCAAGTCTATGACTTTTTCCAAGCCAGAAGAATTTGCACATCTGAAATATTTGTTAGTTCTTTCTCATATGCTTGCTATACAATGATTTAAAGAATTTAAGAGTGAATGGCTGGCTGGTAATCTATGACTATACTGCTAAGCAAGAACCACCCCCCTACAATTTCTACATCTGGCTTAACATTGATACGCTAGTTCTGTAATGGAACTGCAAATTAAGCTACTTTGTGTTTGACATGAAATGCAAATGAGAAGTTTTCTACCTGAAAGAAATTAAACTTAGTAAGTGAAAATTACGTGTATAAATTAACACTTCCAGAAAAAGGTTGGCACCTGGCCTCATTTGGGATTCAGGGTTTTATAAAATCTTGCTAGGATTATAGTGTTCCTGTCTAAAGAGGGCTTTTCTCTTGTTTAATTAGCGCTAGGATTAGAACAAGTCTTTCTTCTTCGGCGTTTGATTTATGTAGTGAAAATAGACAAAAATGTCATGTCTAAAACCATGTGTGTCTGGCTACAGAATTTTCCATCATGGCATAACCTTGTATAAGTCAAAAAAGAACATTTGATATTTCATACTTAACAGGTCTTCTTCATATTTTGAATTAATATTTGGTAGTGTCTTGCTGAACATATTTAAAGGTTTTCTCACTATTGAATATATTTCATATCTGAAAAATTATGTAAAATGTCTATTTTTATAGTCTATAACAAAATAGCAATAGTTTTATCATGTAATGGAAGAACTGAATTGCCTTGTCTGTCTACATATAGCTAGCATTATTTTGTCCTGAATCTTATCGTTTGTACTAAAAAGATGATGATCTGTACCTTAGTCTGAAGTCTTTTGCCTAACTGCCCTCTTGACATGGCTGCAGAGCATCACAGGAATATGAAGAACAGACTGGTAAATCTTCCGGTTTTGGAATTAGGGATCTAAGATCACAAATCCTTAGATCCTGACAGGCATGCATCAAGTTCTGCAACATTAGCACCCTGGGTGTGAAGGCTACCACCTGCTATTCTTCATTTAAGTAGAATATCCTGCTGCTGCAGGATAGAATTAAAATGCATGTTAAGTACACTTAGTTGCACAACCAACTAAAAGTGTATGTAACAAAAATAAATTTCACTTTCACTTGAAAGTAGATGTTAGTAATGTTGGAACTAAGTAAAGAAATTCAGTCAAAAATCACATTCTATCCTTTATTTAAGTGTGCAAAAGATTCCTTAAATAAAAAGTGTTTATCTTAATAAAATAAGTTCTCAAATAGTTTGGACGTAGAACAGCATTTCAAGTTCCATTTTCCTCTCCAAATGTTTACTATAAAAGCACTTTTAGTTTAAATTTTTTTTTTTTTTTTTTTAGAAAAGAGTAGAAACATGATACATACTTTAGGCCTTGCTACATCAAATCTGGAAAGACTGGGAAGAGGTTTAAATTGTACCTTGATAAAAACCCCCACCAGTGAGACAGACAGTCGCTCAGTCAACCACTTTTATTGACTGAACACTGGTATGAGTTTGGCCCTGAAGCATTCGCCCAACTTGTCCTGCAGGTCTCCCAGTGGTAGAACCAGAAGAATGGAGTACAGTTCGAGGATATTTAGCAGCTGTAGCTTGGGATATGGTTTGCTGAAAAGTAATCAGATATATCATAACACTTAACGGAAACAAAAAATCTCATTAAGATAGCTCTGAGTGAGCTGTAGTTTAAACAGAAAGATTTGCAATCCAGTAAGCTGAAATACACATCTCAAAAAAAAAAGGGGGAGGGGGGTAACAGACTGGGTAATTTTCTTCCTTCCTTATCTCTAATATACTTTTCAGAACATAAAGTGCTACACTTCCAATTTACTAGGTAACCTGAGCTTTTATCACCTCAATCTTACTTCAAAGTTGGTTTGCTTAGTTTTTTTACCAAATTGTTCAGAATTTTCCAATGTAGTGCTAATTTAATCATGCCAACATTCCTTTTGATATTCAGTATTTGCTATGAGGAAGTCTCTGAAAGGTTTCTTGTCTCTGAAACGAAAAGGTTTGCATTTAACAACAACGAATTTTCTGCCCAAGAAACTAGCCACCTTACTGCAACAAACAGTAGTCATTCTGCTTTTAATCAAGGTAAACTCTCTCCCCCATCAGATTAATTCAAGAGAAATACTTCAACCTGATTGTCTTCACTCAGGCATTTATTTGCAGAAAGAGTACATGGAATATACCCCTGGGACTATCATATTTATTACACACCAGATGTGTTGCAATACAACAGTGTTACAAGCATAATTCTGACTTACCTGAGTGACTGGATGATGTTTTTCAACAATGACTGAACTCATGGGTGGAGCAACTCCCATCACTGCTAAACTACCACAAATTCTGGCTTTTTGTCCCATATCAGCTCTGCCCGTGATTCGAGCAGTGATTGTTCTTCCTGCTTTCTGTTGAGCAGATGTTATTACTTTTGCCATGGGCTGCAAATAAAGTAAGTATTAGCTTGTAAAAAATTCTAGACATAGTATTTACAATCCTGTAGTGTATCTCCTTAGTTTTATCAGCCACATGCCTAAATGGAACATGGGATGTTGCAGGTAATCCAATTATGGTATTACAGGACTGAATTTTCCCAACCTAGTTGCAATCTGGTTTATTTCATCTTTTTTCACTCGAAGTATGAGATAGTGTTTTGAGAAAGTGAATTCTATCCTGAGGGGAGTAAGGCTAATTTGATAAAAATCAAGCAGCATGGACAGCTTAGCTTTGCTCCCTGGCTCCACACTCGGAGTGACAGCTGCAGGCACTTCTGTCACCCTGGAAAGTCTTTTTAGCAGTGACATAGCAGACAGGAAGAATCTTCCATGTAGTAAAATGTGGCATCTTTCTCTGACAGCTGGTAGCAAACTGTATCCGATGGGAAAAGGAAAGAAGAGCAATGCAGAAGGCAGTGAAGAAAAGTAAAAAGGGCAGTTTAGCAGCAAATACAGAAGAGGGAATGAGAGACATTTCAAACAGTGGGATGCTAAAGCAAAGCATATTCTTTCCAGAACAAAATGGTATCACAGGAAACACCAATTGTTCCTGTTGTGCTGTACTTAAGTTTATGTGCACTCTATTCTTCACTCTGTCATACATCCCCCTCTATAAATAATGTAAAATTGCTCCTAACATAAATGGGTTTCTGTAACATAAATGAGCATTTGCAAGCTAATGTCCTTACACAGCTATGTAAACTCTATGGCAGTTTCCTCAACTACATATTTGTGTTGCTCTGAAAAAATGCAGAAATAATGATACCCAAACAAGTATTAGTTATGATTATGCCTTAAACAATAAAAAAGTTAATTTTAGGATGCTACCAGTTTTTGAGTTGACGCCACACCAGATCCTGTAGCTGTGCTACTGACGATTACTGGAGAATCAGAATCTAGCCTGGTCTGAGAAGTGCTTGCATGACCCAGGTGGGTAGAAAACTGTGAATGAAACCAGAGTTTACACAGAATGAGTATAACTTTCTAGAAAACACAATTTTACTCTTCAGATAGCCAGTTTTTTGATTATTCCAATTACCCTCCTTAAATTTAAGTTCTTGCAGATATTTTATCTCTAATTTTATTGTCTTCTGGGTAATTTAAAACTACTTGTCTAAGAATTGTAGAAACAGTATGAGTAGCATTTGATACTGGTAGAATGAAAAATCAGGAAGAGGCAAGCACATCCTCTGTCCTAATCTGTACTCTAGTGTGAAATTGTTTTACAGCGGCAATGTTTTCAGCATGAAGGGCAGGTCCAGAACATCCAGGCTACTGGATAATGATCTGGCTAAGCTGACATGACAGGACAATAAGCTGAGTTCCCTCAGTGTCTATACATGTTACACTTTCGCAAAAGAAGCTTCAAGTCAAGCCAGCTTTTCTTCTGTTGGGATTATGTTAAGCTTAGTTTTTTTGCAAAAAACTCTATAGTTTTTTTCCAGAAAGAACGTTAGAGAGCAACTTCTGCTTATTATAGTGACTTTGTCTTCATTAGTTTAACGCATTTTCACTAAAATAAAAAACAGGGCTTCATTAAAGTAAAGCAAATCACAGCAGCTGTGCCCCAGTCACTTTATTTACACAAGGTAGTCTGAACGTACCTGAGGTTTCTTTTCACACTTAGACTGTCTTCAAATTCCTTCAATTCATGGATTATGGTATTTATCTTTAAAAAGCTCCAACCGAGGAAGTTCGTTTTTGTCACTAGCAAATACAGTTCTGTTCCAGCTACACACTTACCATGTCTTCCAGCTGAAGAGCAGTTGCTGGTGGAGGTGGTGGTGAGGGGGGATTATATTGCGAAGGAGGTAGCCTTCCTGCAACAACGGTACCATTATCATTTCTCCTACTTCCTACATCTATTATTAGAAACACAAAGTAATGCGATCAGCACATAATCTAGCAAACCCTAAGGGGGAAAAAAAGAGATAAGTCACAGTAAAAATTTTACTATTCCTTTGGGATTTCTGCATAATCTAATTAAAGGAATCAGCCTGTTCTTTATAGGTGTGTGTATTTATATAAAAACTTTCCTTCATTTGGCCCTTCTTTTCAAACTCTTGGAAACAGTATTTTCCAAAGGGCTTATTTCTGTATTATGCCTCAACATGCCTATGGCACTTGTCACACACTTGTAGTGCAAAGAACTGAGGTTCTCCATAGTGCTTGCCAATACTAAATCCAGTGTGCAAGAGCTGCTTTTACGTGAAAAGCCAAAATCCAGTTCAGGCAGAGAGCAGCAAAACACAGAAAGACCATATGGGACTTCTTCAAGGGCATAAGATCCTTAAGGAGGCTCACTGTCAGTAAAACAAAATGTTATTTTAACTTTCCTGAAAACATACTGCAATTTCAAGGAGCCATAAATCAT